GTCCATGCCATGCTTCGGCGTCCCGCACTGGTGGCTCAAGGTCACTGCTTTGGCGCCCCCCCCAGCAGCAGCACGCCCACAGAGCCTCGCTCGAATCGGGCCACGTGGCGCAGTAGCAGCGGGTGAGGAGGAAGAGAAAGCTGCTGACACTGCCAGCAGTAGCTCGCATCCATTTAGCCCATAGGCACGCGGTAACTCTAACTGCACGGCGTTTCTGCGGCACGGGTGGTTTGTACTGGACACCGCAACGCTGTTGGTACTGGAGCGTGGGGGTGGTTCGTTTCCAGAGTGGCGACCGGTCTGCACTGGAGACTTCTAAGTGGAGACTTCTAAGGCTTGTATAAAGGCTAGAATCTCTATCATTGGTGGGTGTTCTTCGTCCCGGCAATCCTGCTCTTGCAAATCTGTTCTTGGTCAATGGCAATCCACGGATCCTGTGGTTTACCACCGCACAGGCCTTGTGATTGTCGTTCATATCAGCACTTGTGGATCTGCCCGCTATGCTTCCTTTTTTGAAGGGGAACAATCATCCATACGATCTGTTTGCCCAGAGGGGTAACCCATCATTTGGCAAGTGTTTCTTTGCTCATCCCTAAAATCGGACATGTCGAGCATCCTTCAAGCATGCTGGGAGATTTTGCGCATTGGCTTGGGCCATCCGCACTGTGGAAGCTTGAGCAAAAACGCAGGTGTTGAAAGACAAGCTCTGCACAAAAAACGCAGAGAGTAAGCCTCACCCTACACCAAAGCAACACTCAGGTGATGTTCCAACGGTAACCAAAATCAACCAAATAAAAAGAACTTGAACCTCTGTCTCCACTTGTCTCACGACCCCGTTGGCACTTCTGTTGCGTCCTTGGCGTGTTCTTTGACCGTCGACGGTCTTCGCTGCGTTGGCAGCGGACCGGACCGCGCCCCGGGAGCGGCGAGTCCTGCTTCGCAGGACCGACCAGGCGCGACGGGCGCGACGGGCAACGCGGCTGTGGGGAGTCGAGTCGGGGCAGTCGGAAGCGGCCTCCAACCGAGAAGCGATGGCCTCCAAGCTGAAAGCAAGTGAAGGTGAAAAGAGAATGAAGAAGCATTATGAAGTGACTTGCCTGTGTAGCTGGTTTTCTGGGAAATGTCCTTGACTCTCACATCCACGTCGTGAGTCGTGGCCTGATTTGGCCTGATAAATGAGTATTAATCACATGAGCTCAAGCTGCCCAGTCAAACTAGAGGTGATTGAGGGGTCTTCGTGGCTGATTCGTCACCATGTGCGGCCCATAACTTGTGCGCTTGACAAGAAGATTCAAGGTCTTACACATCATCTCACCTCCAGGCAGAAAGGGCAGCAAAGCTACTGTTGTCCAAGTTCTCCTTGGAATCCCCCGGATTGCACAAAAATATGTAGGGGGTATCAATCGATCTCTGTATCATTCAACCTCAACATAAAAATGGCCAATATATACCAGTCTGCTGCATGTCAGCTCACACTAAGCTTGCTTAACTGCCTCTCCAGCGATAATTCCAGCAGAAGGGGAATCGACTGCCTCAGACTGGACTTGTGAATGAGGACTTGCCGGGCTTGGTGCTTGGA